GTCGAAGGCCTCGCGGGTCGCACCAATTACGTATATCATCGGAAAGGCTTAGGGAAGAGGGTCCAAGTGTGGTTCCTCGGTGACATATCGACCTTCGCTGGCGGCTTCAAGTCTCGACCAAGTGGAGATGTACGTAACGACTATCGCTACAGCATGGACGGTGTTGCATGGGTCATCAGCAGTCTCGTGCCACAGGACGTTGATTTGGTGAGATCAGTCGAGCCGCCATCGCTTCGCTGACTATGCAGTTTTGTCAGATTCTAATTCGGCCGCACTTACTGACCGACTCTGTTTACGCAATCTATTCAAATTTCACTCTAGTAGATGCTCACGGTTCTCCACGTTGGAAGGACATGCGGGAGTATCCGGAAATAGCTCCCGATGGGGCAGCTCACTTGAAGCACCTACTGAGCAATGTTCTCGAGGATAAGTTGGATATGTCAAAGAGCATCAGCCTGTACAGTTTCAGTAAGGGCTGCATTGTGCTGTCGTCGCTCATAAAGAGCGGCTTTGCTGGACTACCTATAAGAAAGTAACTCCAAAGAGTAAAGGCATTCTCCACTGAATTCACATGAAAGGTTAACATTCATCGATCCTGGCCTCAATAGAGCTGATGAAATCTTCCCCATCACCCGTGAAGAGCTGAATGCTATGGATAAGAGCATCATCATTGAAGTACATTCGACACCGAGGCAAACGAAGGATCCGGATCGACCTTGGATAAAATTCGAAATCGAGGAATTTGTGAAGGAATGCAACTTGTGCAGTATTGAGGTAAAACTGTAGTATGTGTGCAGGTGAAGTGTGGTGGTATGTCAGGCACGTCATATTGAGCATTTCAAGAACGTACCGGTTATGGGGCCAGCTAATGCACTCGACATGCACTTCGATGCTATCCCAGCTGCTCTTGGGAGCAGGAAGGCTCGAGGCTACTTTGGAAAATGGGCTGCTGGCCTGTCGTTTGATACTGTGCGACCGATTGTCAATGAACCACATTTCTATCGATAATTGTTAGTTCCTTTAGCTATACTTCTGTAGGGTTATGATATTCAATGCGGTTTTCATCTGGGTGAGAAATGAGGTTTGAAGGATCACTTGATAACTCAACAACAGTAGACAATAGAGACTAGGTTGTCTGACATCATGTTCGAATGTTGAACAGCGCCATAATAAAGACTGGAACTCCTCTGAATTGATCAGACCTACAGGGGTAGAGGGCAAGCAACAATAACAGCAAGGTTAAATCCTTGCTGGATTTACTACATCAGTGCCTTGCAATATCATCCCACGAGGCTACCGTATTTCGTGTTCTTGCACGCCAGATATTCCATTGCGTGTTCGAGAAAACAGTCAGACTAGATTCAACTCAACGTTGCCAGATTTGAGTACCGTCTGATCGAACTATCATGTGAGTTGCTGGGCTGACCGTTCTCAGTGCCCTTCTTATTTCCACGTTTGCCTTGCTACCTCTGTCCCTTCTGATCGGACCGTCCCTAGATTCTCTATTCCCGATCGTCCGCTCCCTCTGGTCATCGGCTCCCTATTATCTGATCTACTATCTGTACCTCTTCCATCTGGTCTGCGTCGTGTTCAATATGGATACTCATCCTGATACTGATCCCCATGACGGACAAACAAGTTCGTCACACCGTAGCTCGTCAGCAGCGGTGGAACTTTCACGGACGTGGCGCGCGCGGTACGAATAACGCATCATGAATCTCGCTCGCCATCTATTATTACGCCCGTAATTGCCGTCGCTCGCCCTAAATTCGCAACCGTTTCGGTCGCTGGAATGCTAGCCTTGACAAGGCGAACACCACCGGGGTTACGATGAGCAATAAGTGCAATAGGTTATCATAGAGTGAGTGTGGAATGTGTTGTCTTCCCAGGGCGGTCGATGGCGATATGCATCGGGTAGATGAGTTACTGTGCACTTCAAGATGGTCGCTCGAGGATTTCAAGCTGTTTCCTTCAGAATCCATTTGTCGCTAACCAAGCGCCCCCTTTAATCCTTCAACATGCGTGAAGCTATCTGCATCCACGTCGGCCAGGGTGGTCTTCAGGTTGGCAATGCCTGTTGGGAGCTCTTCTGCCTCGAGCACGGCATTCAGCCTGATGGACAGATGCCTTCCGATAAGACTATCGGTGGTGGTGATGACGCCTTCAACACCTTCTTCTCGGAGACTGGTGCTGGCAAGCATGTCCCTCGATGCGTCTTCGTCGATCTCGAGCCCACTGTTATTGATGAGGTTCGTACCGGTACCTACAGGCAGCTCTTCCATCCTGAGCAACTCATTTCCGGCAAGGAGGATGCGGCCAACAACTTCGCCCGTGGTCACTACACCATTGGTAAGGAGATCGTCGATCTCTGTCTTGATCGTATCCGGAAGCTTGCTGATAACTGTACTGGTCTGCAGGGCTTCCTCGTGTTCAACGCTTGTGGTGGTGGTACCGGTTCTGGCTTGGGCTGCCTCATTCTTGAGCGCCTCAGTGTCGACTACGGCAAGAAGTCGAAGCTCTCCTTCACTATCTGGCCCTGCCCTCAGGTATCTACTGCGGTAGTAGAGCCT